GGGGCACGGGAGGGGGAACGGGGCGGGGCACAAATGGGCGCTGCCCAGAAGGGGCGTGGTACATAAAACGGGGTGGGGAGAGGGGGCGTGGCCGAACCGTGAAGGGGCGTGTCCAGGGAAGGCAGGAGAAGGACAGGGGCGGAGGAAGGGCGGGGACAGGGGGAAGGCACCGACCGTGATTGGCCACGGGAGGAGCGGGAACGAGGCAGAGGCGGAGCCCCGCTGGAACATGGGCGGGGCAGTGGGGGCGGGGAGCGGGGAGGCGGGGCGTGGGCGCGGCATGAAGGGGGCGGGGTCACACGGGGCGGAGCGATGACGCCACACCTTTCGTAACGGGAAGGCCGCCGCGGTTGGTGCGCATGCGTGGAAGGCGGTAGGGCGGGTGCGCGGTCCTGGATCTCCTCCCCAGCCCCGGGGGTCCCGTCGGGATGTGGGAGCCGGGATTCGGGCGTGTTAGCGCGGCCGTATTGGTGCGAGCTGGGAGAGCCGCACTGTGAGAGCCGCCTCTCGCTCCCGAAAGGCGCCAGGCCGCGTTGCCCCTTCCGTGGTCTCGCCGGAGACACGGAGCGGGGTGCGGCGTGTCTCCCTCAGTGCAGAGGCCATGAAGATTAACGAGGACATGGTGCTGCGAGGAAAGAAGGTGACGCTGGTGCCCTACACCGCTGCACACGTGCCCCGGTACGTGCCCCGTGCCCTCTCGGGCGCTCCTGCACGGTCTGGTTCCAGTTGTCCCTTTGAAAGCCATGCTGGGCTCAGGAAAGGTGACTGCCGGCCGCAGGGCCGCTTCCCCGGGAATCAGTCCCTGAGGTGCCCTCATGCCCTCCCTGTGGCGGCTGAGCTCCGTGCCAGCTCTGCTGTCCCCGGAGCTCCGTGCCAGCTCTGCTGTCCCCTGAGCTCCGTGCCAGCTCTGCTGTCCCCTGAGCCACAGGGAGTGCCTGGCCGTGAGGGAGCGCAGAGCTCTGACGGCCACTGAGGCCTTGCCCCGGTGGCGGTGGAGGAGCAAAGCTTCAGCGCGTAAAGCCAGGTGGATGTTGGGTAAATGAGGCTGCCAAGAGTTTGTAAAGTAAATCGGCACAAACAGCGTTAGTGTTTTGTCAGTGTCCAGGAGGGGCTGTGTCAGTGTTGCTCGGGATGAAAGGCACCAGAACTCAGAAACATCAGGTGTGCATTGGGCACTCCAGACAAAGCCACAGGACGGGCAAACTTCCTAAATTCCCAGAGAGCGCTGTGTTCCATAAGGCATGGAGGCCTGTGGGTACATTTTAAGTTGCCACAAAAGCCGGGTGGGTGTTCCCAGAGCTGCTTTGTGATGGCCTGACGCTGGAGCAGCGGGAGGGATCTGCTGAGGTGCTGCCGTGGGGTGCATTGCCATTGCCAGGTACCACGAGTGGATGCAGTCGGAGGAGCTGCAGCGCCTGACAGCCTCGGAGCCCCTCAGCCTGGAGCAGGAGTACGAAATGCAGCGCAGCTGGCGGGATGACGCTGACAGTGAGCATCTGGGATGCTTCCCGAGGGAGGGTGGGAGTGGTGAGCAGGTCCTCTCCATGCTGGGAAAGACCCACAGTGAACTGGGAGTGCTCTGCGAGCGAGTTCCTGTAAACCAGAGGGGATGTGACACTTTATACAACAGCAGCTTGAACTGGTTTTCTCATTACAGCTGGTATATGTTCAGGGAAGTGGAGAATATCCACTTCCTCGAGCTGTTTGTGTCTTTTTCATGCAGTTTTCCAGAGACTGTAGTGATTCATTTCCCACAGCGTTTTGTGCTGAGCTAAAAATCATTAAGCATCACTCCTGCACAGCCAACACTCCCCAGGTCTGATTGTTGCAAAAAGGTAGAAGGAGGTTGTATTTCTCCTTGATAAATTGGATGATTTTATGATCACCTGGTTGAGGTATGTTGACTGAATTGGTTCCCTGACTCTCCTACAGGTAGTGAATCACTGCCCATAAAAGCCTGGTATAAATTTAGTGAGCTGGAAAATACTGAAGCTGGCAAAGACCTCAGTCTCCAGCATTTGTCTTAGGTGGCATAAAAAAAACCTTACTCAGAGCAGCAATAAGATGGACCAGGTGAATCACTCAGCCTCTTGTGCACCAAAACAATTCTTTGCCCCAACTTGCTGCTGAGTAAGACAAGGCAAGGAGACTTCAAACATGGGAAGGAAGTTTTCACACTTCTTCCACAGGCTGTCTCTAGTCTTGGTGTCTGTGTCACCCTCACAACAGGTTTTTCCTTTCTTTCATTTCTGCAGGTGGGAACAGGCACACCTGTTGTGGGAAGCCAAATTATTAACTCTTCCTTGCTGTTAACACATGGAAACTGTTATTCCTCTGTCCATTACGCACCTTTAATTTCATTCTTTGGTAATTGATGAAGAATTATCAGCCCCCTCTGAAGATGCTGCCACGTTCTTGTTTTGCCCAGAGTGCACCTTCATTGTGCTGGACTCGGCGCGCTGGCCTGGGCAGGCGGAGGAGAGCTCCATGGTTGGGGATGTGAATCTCTTCCTCACCAACGCCGAGGACCCGACTGTGGGCGAGATTGAAATCATGATTGCAGGTCAAGTTGTGCTTCATAGCCTGGGGCTCTGTCGCTGAGGCTGCGTGCTGCAGAGAGATGTTGATGTTCCTGCATCAGCTTTTTATTCTCATGCTTTACCATGGCTGTTCAGCCCTGATCAGTCCATGGCGTGTCCAGCTCACAGCCTCTTCTGAGAAGTGTCTGGTGTGGCTGGTTTGTCTCCCCTAACTGGTGCTGACTCTGTGCTGTCTCTTTCAGAGCCCAGCTGCCGTGGCAGAGGGTTTGGCAAGGAGGCAACTCTGCTGATGATGGCCTACGGTGAGGGTGGCTCAGTGCACAGGAACAGGAGTGTGGGGGGCTGAGATCTGGGAGCACACAATTCCCAGTGATACAGCAGGGTAGTAAGGGATGCATCTGCCCCACAACTGGAGTCCTGTGCTTTTATAGATGTGGCATGTAACGGAAGTGCCTCTCTCTCTGATTTCTCCTGCAGGAGTGAGAAAACTGGGGATCACCAAGTTTGAGGCTAAGATTGGTCAGGAAAATGAAGCCAGTATCTGCATGTTCAAAAAGCTTCACTTTAAGGAGGTGCAGTAACAGCCCATCTCCTCAGAGAATGTGAGCAGCATTTGCCCTGTGGCTGGGATTGAGCTGCTTTCTCTGTGTGTGCTACAGGTTGCTGTGAACAGCATTTTCCAGGAGGTGACGCTGAGGCTGGATGTCAGTGACCAGGAGAGACAGTGGCTCCTGGAGCAGACAAACCACGTGGAGGAGAAGAGTTATGCTGAACTGAAGCAGCCAGCTGGGGTGCTGGACACCTGACAGACACCTCCAGACACCAGCTGGGTTTCCAGGGAGAAGTTGGACCTTGTTGCTAAGTCTGGGTGTGGAGGACACCAGAGAGCCAGCACTGGAACTGTTCTGTTCCCCAACAGCTGAACTGTTCTCCTTCAGCTGCTTTCTCATCTTGTCAGCTTTGCACTTTGCTCCACCAGCCAGGATTACTGCCTGAAATTTGGACCTGGGGAACAGCCACTAACTCACAGGTTTGGCTGGGAATTACTCTTTGATTTGCTGTTCCAACAGAGCTTAAAATCACCAGCAGTTGATTCCTGGACAAGCAGAAACTTCTCCCACTGCTCTCAAATCCAGATTCCTCAGCGAGGAGGTTTCATATACTGGCAGCTCATTCTTTTTTACTCTTGAATAAAAAAAATCACAAAGATCTGAGGTTCCTGAGCACTACGTGGGGCTAAGCTGCTTTCTTTGGCAGCTCAAAAAGTGGTTTAGAAGTTGTAAAAGAGAGCAGAGACTCTTTAAACCCAGTTTCCTGGGGTCTGGTAGGTTGCAGGGGGGGGCACTGCTGGGTCCTGGCAGGGAGAAGCTCAGATGTGGGTGAGCACAAACAAAGGACAAGTTAATATGATGGAAATTGTTGATATTGGCTGATCAAGGCTAGAGCTGAGCCCCACCACTATGAGGGGGCTGAGAGCTGCAGGAGACTTCTGAGACAAACTCCCTTCAGCTTCAGAGCTGTGCTCCAGATCTGAAAACCTCAGGCCAGCAGTGATGTTGCACTTCATTTTCCTTGGCTGCTTTGATGAAAGTAAGGAGAATACACTGAAAGAAGACAGCTCCCTTCTTTCACCAGCTCAGGACTCGCTCTGCTGAGCCTGGAGGGTCCATTTGCTGCTCTCCACTAAGATAAAGATGAATGTGGGGGAAATACCTCTTACTGGGGGGAGATATATTTAGGGCAGGAGTTATCCAGCCTCTGCTGCAATAGATCTGAGATCCATGGATGAAAAAGAGGCACTTGCCTGACTCCCACTGGACACACTTCCATGTGCAGTTACTCAGCCTGAGCTGGCCTGCCCTACACACACTGTCCACAGCAGGGAAGCTGCTAAGAGGAGAGGACAGAAGGTAAGAAGGATAACTGATGCTCCTGTGTGTTTTCATACTGTAATAGCAGCTGTAGTGGCTAATCCTAGACCACAAATTAGCTGTTTCAGTGATAGGTCAGGTAATAACTTTCAGATTTGCCGAGGGATGTTTTGGAGAGTGGCAGTCTGTGGAATTTTTAGTGTTGCCATGCCTGTATTTTTAGGGCCTGGGGGTTTTAGTTTTCCAGTTTTAGCTAATTTAAATGCATTATTCCTGTGACTAATATTAAAGCCAAGTGTGGGAACAGTGCATCATGGCATTTTAAACAAGTATTTAGTGTGGATTTAGTTGTAGTGAAAGCTTTGTGTGGTAATAAAGTGAAGAGCTGCTCTACTTCCCGCTGGGATTACCATGACAAGGGCTACTAATCCTCCTGGTCCTCATCACCTGCTGCAAGCAGAAATGGATTGTCCTCCAGCACAAGATTTGCAGAACCTGCTGGGTGAACTGCTGGCTCTGGTGCTCCTTCTGTGAAGCGTCTCATCCCTCTGCCAGAGGAGCAAGGCCAAACCGGCAGGAGAGATGTAGCTGGGCTGGGATTTGCTTCCCCAAAAACCCAACCAATGTGGAAAAAATAATTTCTTTTAACCTCTGCTGCCAGGGGGAAGGGGCAGGGTGATCTCCTGTCGCAGCTCCTGTGCCCAGCTGGTTGCTCTGGAGCCAGTGAGGGCCCTGCTTGGCATCCCCGGGCCCGGCAACGCCTGCGCTGCCCCGGCTCCGCAGGCGGCTGGGAACGGGGAACAGCCTTTCCCTGGCAACCCACAGCTAAGCTGGGTATGTCCCGGAGCTCAGCCCACCCCAGAGGCTGGGGGGAAGAGTCCTGGCAGGGCTCAAACAGGGTTCCCACAGGGAATCAGTGCCCAGCTGCTCTGACCAGGCCAAGAGGCAAAAGATGCTGCTGGGCCCCAGTGGCTGCCCCTGCTCCTGCCCACCCTGGGGCATCCGCCCCGGGTAGGGGTGTCCTGCTGCCCCAATGGGATGGGGATGGGAAAACGGGACAGGGGCTCACCTTCCCTCAGAGGACACGTCTTTGGAGGATGAGACAAGTTGGAATGGGCTCCCCCAGCTTCCAGGAGGAAGTGACAGCCTGCACATCCCCCAGAAATCTGATGACACTTTGTCACCTGGGTGTCACTTGAAGCGCAAAGATCTGTGAATATTCGTGTGCTCAGGTGGAAAAGCTTCTTTGCAGATTTGGAGCACAAAACAAGAGTGTGCAGAATGGGGGGAAGCAAAGATACCAGACAGAGGCCAGGCACAGCCCTGCCTTGTCCTACTGTGCCACCAGCCTGGCCCCACTGAGCCACCCGAGGCTACATCCATTCATTTGGAGCAAGCACCCGTCTCTCCTCACTGATCGCCCCTGCCTTCCCTCAACCCAGGCTCATCCCTAAAACCCCTGTAGGGGCTGGGGCACATTGGGCTGTCCCAAAGCTACTGCACTCCAGCCTGGCCAGCAGACCCAGATTAGAGCTTTGCATCACCCTCCTCTCCCTCCCCCCCATCTCCCCAGGGGATTAAAGCTCATTAATCACCCCAAGGCATTAGCCCCCACTGGGAGCAGCCCGTGCCTCCCCAACCCCCTCAACCTGTCCCCATCACGTGCTGAGGGGTACCCAAACCAGGCCCAGTGTCCCCCAGTGTTTTTCCCTCAAACCCCAGAGGGCCACAGCAAGCCCTCTGCACCCCGCACCCAGGCTCTGGAAGGATTTAGCCTTAAACCAGACTCGTGAAGTCAGAAAGGTTTATTCCAGTAAACAGAATTTCTCTTGAGCTCAACAGTACAACAACACCTGATTGCAGCACATGGAAACAAAACATCCACAGGAAGAATTTCCACAAAATACAGGTAAAAAAAAATGTGATTGGAAAAACACTCATTTCAGAAAAAAACAAGAAGTCTGTGAGAAGCTTTTAAATTAAACAGTGTTGGATTCAAACCCTGATTGGCTCCGTCTCCAGGAGTGTGCAGTAGCAAAGGAGACTATTATTGCTTGCTGTGCTGGCTCCAGACACCCTCTCCTCTCCCAAAATTTGCCCCAGGTCAGAGTGCTGGGCATTCCCCAGTGCTGGGCACCCATACCCCTCCCTGCAGCTGAAGAGGCAAAGGGACAGGGTCATTGTGGACGGAGCTTGCCAGGCCAGGGTCAAATACCCTGGCTGTGGTCAGTGGCTGGGCAGGTGGGGCTTGGGAGAAGACACTAAAAGCCAGGTTTTGCAGTTAAAGGGTAATTTGGAGAGGATCTCAAATAGAGATGAGGTTTGGGGTGGGGGAAAAAACAGGGAACAGTAGGGACCAGGAGTGTTGGGCATCAGGCCACCCCAAATCCTTGATCCCTCCCAAACCCCTGCTTGTGCCTACCAGGGTGTGCAGGGCTTCAGGGCAGGGCTGGAGGAGCACCCTGGGGATGAGCTTTCGGGAGGGGGCACCCCCAGCACCCCCAGCCCAGAACTCCTCTGCAGGGATGCTCACTGGCCACCAAAGCCCAGCACTTGGCTCAGGGTGGTAGGGAGCAGCCCCACATCTCTACCAGAAGCCCATGGCAGGGAGGAGAGGAGTGCAGGAGAGATGGGTTATGGGGCTGGGCAGGGGCTAGAAGACACCCACCCTGCCTCAGGGCCTTCACAGGTTGCTGAACAGTTCATTTTTCTTGCTCCAGTCCATCTGGGGTGCCCTCTTGCTGGTGCGCTTCTGGTGCGCCCGCTCCTTGGCCACGGCCAGCGGGATGTCAAGGTCCAGGAGGGAGCCAGATGCTGAGTGGCGTTTGTCACCCTCCTGTGCGTGACGTTGAGAGGGGATGAGAGGCGGTGTCAGCCCCACCGTGTGTGTGGCTCAGCCCAGATCTGCTTTCCAGCCCTGCCTCCCCCCCAGCACTCCCAGCCCTACCTCGCTGTGGGTCTCGCTGGAGCTGGGGGACACGGCCGCTGGCGCGGGGCTGGACGGGCTCTCGGACACCGAGTGGGACCGCGGCTCTCCGCCGTTTTCCTGAGGGCAGCAGGGAGGGAGTGTGAGCTCCAGCCCCGGGGCTTGAGAACAGCCTCCAGAGTTGCAAGTCCCACCCAGGGGGGGCCATGAAATCCGTCCTTCCCGCACGTAATCCCCTGCAAGCTCCAGGCACATAAATACCTCCAGCGCTGCCCATCAGGGCGGGGAAGGATTAAACCCCAGCCTGCTGCCCTGGCTTTAGCAGGAGGAGGAGGAGGAGGGTGGCTGCAGGGCTGGGTGCTACTTCCCTACTGCAGCACGAGGGCTCCCAGCCCTGGAGCATCAGATGGCAAAAGAGAGCAGGAAAACAGCCACCTCCATGACACTCAGCACCACAAGCATCCCCCTTCCTGGAGGACACCAGTTCCCTTCCCAGTGGCACCAGCTCTTGTGTGGCAGGCTGAGACCACTGTGGTATCTGGTGGCTTTACCCACCCATGGGCAGAGGGGACATGAACAGGAGGGTCCCTGACTGGAGATGGGCATAGATGGAATTAAAATCAAGACGAGGCTCTTACCTTCCCTATATCACCATTGGCTACTGGCTCTGGCAAGGGACCTGTGGGATAAGGACACAAGCACCAGGTGAGGATGTGTTTGCTTTGTCCCCTTGCCAGTGGAGGGCAAGCCAAGGCTGCACATGGCCAATGCTCACACAACACTGCCCAAGGTCTGGCCAGGTCTTGAATTTTTTAACCACCAACTGCAGCCAGCCCCGTGGCACAGGGGAATGCTGCCAGACACATCCCCATGATGGCAGCCGTGGTGTGGAGCCCAGTGAGACCCCTTCCCCATCCTCCTGGGGACCACTGTGACAGCAGAGGAGAGCAAAGGGCAGCTGATGCCTGTTTGCTCCCCAAGCCATAAACCCTGCCAAAGTGCAACCCAGGGCCATAAACCTGCCCATGTCAGGGGGGCCTTCAGCCAAGCAGGGAGACACCAAAGCCAGGTGACTCTGCATGGCCCCAAGGTGAAAAGGCCACCTCCCAGGGCTCAGCACCCTTGGGTTTGGTGAGACAGTGACACAGAGCCACCAGAGGTGTCACAAACCCTCCCAGCAGCACCGTCCCCAGCCCACCTGTCAGGTGCTGCTCCGAGGGCACCACCTTGCACTTCTTGAAGAACTCATCTGTGAGGATGTCCACCACCAGCAGCCTGGTCTCGTCACCACTCGCCTTGATGGCTGCCACCACATCACTGTGCTGCTTGCCCTCCATGCACACACCATTCACCTGCAGGTACCACATCACCACTGGAGCTGGGGGACATCCATCCCTCGGAAGCACCATGGA